GCTTCGCACGGCGGGTCTTAAGTTGGCCTTGACGTTTTTGGAGTCGGTCAGTCAACAGAACGCTTCAACTTACGCAAAAGTAGCGATCCCCCCAAAGTAAAGCCTGAAAACATGGCTTACCTGGCAGTGGTCGTGGGGATGACAGCCAGTGCTCCCTTCCAAAATGGTGTGTCCCTGGCGTGGCGCTGGGGCAGAGGGTGGCCGGGGGTTGGTGAGCCCCAGAGCTGGCTGCCTGGCGCATTGGGTGCCCTACGTTGAATCCAGTGGGTCCTCAGTTCGAAAATGGCTCACCAGAAATGACGCTGCACATCAACCAATTGTACTCCACCAAGGGAGGATACGTACATTTCCCACTTGTCTCTTGCCATTTTTGGTGCAACACCTGAAAGGGGAGGGAGAGGGAGGTGGCACTAAGCTTCCATGACTGCTGCGGATTTTAGGAGCCAGGTCAAGCCTTGCTGCACATCTCTCGTCCAACCTGTTTTTGAAGAATGGAGGTGCTTCCTCCTTAGCCTGGTGTGCGAGGCAGTGGCATGACGCACCAGAGTGGCTATCAGCAAAAGCCTGTCTCGGGAATACCCCATCTTCTTCTGTCTGCTGGAGTAGAGCTAGAAATTCGCGACAGTTATCACAGAGAAACAAGAAGTGAGTTCTCATCTTGGCCGTCACTTCCAAAAACAAAGGACTGTAACTGCAGATAGTTGGTTTCGGTTTATTGCTATCGTTATTTTGAGCTGCTATGCAAGATCAGAAACAACAGAAATAAGCGTCGTGATCACCCTTATTGTCTCCTGACAAGTACAGATCCTGTTTTCTTTTTGTCTTGGAGATCCTACATATTAAGCTTTCTATGCTAAGGGATTTTTTTTTTTTTTAATACTTATTGTAGCTAGAAAGACAGTCTTGTATGTAAGCTTTTTCCTTCATTTTCACAAGTGCAGCTGTGTAAGTAACATATATTTTGTCTGCCTTCAAAATTACTTGCCTGTAGCATTGTTTTCAGAATAATTTTCACTGCTGCATGCCCGTGTGAAGAACACAGGGTTACATTCCATGTAATCTTTCAGCTCTTCACTGTTGCCCATTGAAAAGTCTACATCTGCTGAAGATGCTTTTTGTGTAGTTCTTGGAGTAGTAGTAACACTGTAAAAACATGTCTCTCTTTGAGAGAGTTTGTTTGGAATGCATATTTATTTGGCCAAAAGCTATTGGTGGGAGAGGGTAGTCTACTTTCCCTCTTTACAAAATGCCACGGAAGGTTTGGGTTTTTTTCAATTCAAACCTATTAAAGTTGAAATAATTTCAGCAATGGGTGTTTTACAGTATTTCGGATCATGAGAATGAAGAACTTGAATGCTTTTTTTCTGTTTGCAGAATAATTGTTGCAAACCTTAAAGAAAAGGGTGGTTGTGGTTTCTGGAATTTATCCTTCTTGCCTTTATCTCTCTTGGTAACTCCCCCTGTCTGTATTGATTTTTCACATGTTTCGAGCTTTGAAATTGCAATAGCAGTGCCCTGCTGTGATGTTAGTTCTGTGGATTAGAAGAGCGAGTCCAAACAAAGTCTGTGTGACAGCCTGCTCCTTTTAAACTCCCACCCAAACTTCATCTAATGTCCTGTAGACACATACATTAGGAGTAGATGAATCTCTTCCTAAAAGTACTAACTTATCTTCTCTATAAAGGTCAGCGGATTCTGAGTCAGATGCAGATCTCCACCTTTGCCCAGGTGAATCACACCTAAGCGCATGCTGTAAATTCTAACAAAAGTTAATTGCAATGAGCATGATTGATGTCTTTATTGTAAATACCACTTGCTTTGATAAGTGGATGTGACCAGTAAATAATTTTTAAGTATTACAGTGGACAAGACTCCAATCAGGGATGATATGTTTCACGTAACAGACAATGTTCAAGCTTTTGCTGGCTACATCAGTTGTCAAGAAACGTAAATTTGCTGTAAAGGCCTCCATTGTATCTTAATATTCTTAAGCATCTGCTAATTGAAGAAGTTTGAACACTGTTGCTTTATAGTCTGACTTGTAGTTGGGCTGTGCAGATGTAGTATGTTTGTGGAGGAGATTAATCTCCATAGAACCAGAATAAGGGCAGATAGTAAGAGGCTCCAGGACTTCAACTAGGAGTATCTTCACTTCTTTAGTTACTGGGGAACTCCTTAGTTGCTCTGAGAACTCATATATAAGGTTTCTTGAGGTGATCTAGGTGTTAGGTCTGACAGGTTGAAAAGCAGCAGGCTCACAGGGAATGTTATTTCTGGGTTAGGGTTGAAATTGCAGAAAAGTGTGTGTACCTGACACTTACTGTGTGGTTAAGGCTCTTGCTATAATTATGGTGCAAAAAAAGGTACTAGGTAAAATAACTATTTTGTTACGGGTTATGGCCTATACTGCCGAAACATAATTATGTTGAATACATAAAATTGTGTTCTGCTGGTATTCTGCATATTTGAAATGCTGACAGTTCTTTGACAGCTGATGGTTCATGCTGAACAAAGGTTCCTTCTGAACAAAGGGGGACTCTCAAACACACTGCATGTCTGCAGAGTGCAGAGCAGATGAGATGTTTATGTAGTACTGAAAACTTTTCCGAGCTATAAATATTTTCTTTCCAGATATAATAAAGGAACAAAATCGAGAATTAAGAGGTACACAGAGGACTATAACCAGAGATAGAGCAGCACTTGAAAAACAGGAAAAACAACTGGTAAGTAGAGCAGAGGACTTTTATTTTACTTTTTAAAAACACACACACCCTCAGTATAAAAGGAAACTTGCAAAATGATGAAGGTACAACTCAACTTTTTTGTGTGTTTGATTATTATACATTATCTTCCCTTTTTTAACTTCTCAGTCAAAATTTACTATCTAAAAGTGATTCTCAGTCTTTAACATAGGAAAAGCCTGAAACAATGTGTTTAGATAAAATGACCACATTCATTTTTCCCTTTCATTCTTAGCATTCTTTATCCTTCAGAAGGTTTTTTTCTAACAGATTTGTAAATCAGTGGTCTTGTGGTGGAAAAACTAAAGGTGTCAGTATTATGTGTTACAATGAGTCTCCAGTAGGAGAACATACACTACGGTTTTATGAGTATCAGGAATACCCCATAGAGTTGTTATTTTAGTTCATATAGAACTTCTCTAAAACTGGCTAATAATAGTAAAACTATCTGCCTAAATGAAGAGATATTTAAAACTTAATGTGTGCGAGCTGTCAAGAATTCGGTGAATGGGTGCCGCACCTGTGTGGTAGCATAATTGTACAAATGGATGTGACAGATGGTGTTTGATGCATGAAGACATGCTCAGAGTGTGGGCGAAGCTATGCAAATCCAGCTGCTGTGTCAGGAGCTACTGAGGTGTTGTTTCAGGGCAGCAGGTCGCCTGAATGTGAAGAGCTAGGAATAATAGGCTGAAAGAAGCCAGAGAAATTGTTTCTGGAAGCCTTGAACATGTAAGATATAATACGCTACAACAAGCTAAGGCATTTTCTGGTATGATATGTCCTGACTCTGGAAAGAACCTTAAGGTTAATGAATCAGGGTGAAGTTTTGATTACTTAACTACAGTAAATTGATTCAGAAATGTTGGATTTCTGAGGAGAGGAGGAAAGGAGAAGTGAAATATGTCTGTGAAAAAGTTAGTATTAGCAGATAGGATGAGAGGATCAATGGTAAATACTAATTTTTAGAGTTAGATCAGGTTAAAAAGGACCACAGATGTGTTAGTCAATCTCAGAACATCTTGTTATGTACTTTTTTTAGAAGGACTTATTTTTTTTCCTTTCTATGAGATACTATGAAAAAAGCTAGTTATATTAATTCTGTGTATAAAAATACCTTAAAGTATACAGACAGTTCTGTTTCAGTTCAGTAACCTCATATGACTATATGAATTTAGATCTTTTTTTCCATAAGAATATACCTGACTTTAATAAGTTTGCCCCACACCTCCAAAAAATAAATAATGCATTGCATCTCTTTACCCAAATTCTTCTTAATTAGGGATAAAATGATCTATATATAGGCTTTGGTTTCTGCAGCTGGATTATCTATAGTGATTTAGCAGTGGTTGGTGTAGGTTTGTATTTTGCTTTGAAAATCAGGTTATAAATGTTACTTAGGTATTTAATCTCAGTGAGAAAATCCTTATTTTCAAATGTTTGCTGTTAAAACTAGGGTGCAAATTTGGGTTTGCTAATGTGTAAACTAATCCCCCCTTTCACAATATTTGAGTTTTTAAAAAAATAAGGTAATAGTATGGGCATGCTATAGAAATTTGGTTTTGTAGTCTCAGTTTGCTACTTAAAAAGCGGACAGCTTTATATATATTTCAGGCCTCTAGTGTTTGAACAGTCTCATGCTCCTTCTTTGCTGATCTGTACATTCTTGGATTAAAACCAGTATGTATGACACAGCTTTTCAGAAATACAGATTTACAGAGATTATCTTGTGCTAATGGCATGTCTATAGTCAACTTAACTATGAACTTTCCTAGTAGTAAAGCTGGTGCAGTGGGTCAGTTTATGCTCACCTTTACATGTGACTGTTTTGGATATGCTGGCGACCAGCCAATATTTACCTTTTCAGAGCAACGTATCTTCTTATAAATCCAGTTTTCTGGATTACTGATGCACATAAAGTGAAGCAACTGTATTCCTGTAGCAGATATATTCTCCTGAAGAACTACAAGAGAAAGCTGTTCTTTAAAGGCTGTTTTTACCTAACAGTAAAAATCAAAATGTACAATTGCGCATGTACAAAGAACTGAGATACTATAGCAAGTCCTCCTTAAAAAGTCTGGAAAGGAAAAATTAGTTGAAAAGTTTACATTGCCAAGTCACAAATCAGAAGGCATACTTAGAAAAATACAAGCTGACAAGATTATTTGTGCCAGACTTTTTCCTGGTACCTCTGGGCTAAATAGCTTGCGATTTCTCCTTGCACTGATGGATTTGGAGTTTCTTCTTTTTTTTTCTTTTTTTTTTAAGACAGAAACATCTTTCTTAAGGTTTAAGCACACGTTGTTGTAGACAAATTGTACTACTTTTATTATGCTAAGTCAAGTCCAGCTAATTTATGTGGGCAAGAAGCTTAGTTATTGCTCATCTGACTTTATCTTCTCCTTCCTTCAAAAGATCATGAGATTCTCTTGAGGCTGAAAAAGTGTTAAAAAAAACCCCCTGAGAACTCCTCGTTTCTTCCATGTGTGATGTGGCTTGATTGCCCGCAAATGGAAGAAATCAAAGTCGTGGCACTAATAGTTGGCTGGCCTTAACAATCCCTTCACTTTTTTGGGGTGTTAGTTTTTTTTTGTTTGTTTGTTTTGTTTTTAAGCATCACTCCCTATCCAGATGTGAAGCTGAATGTGCTCATATTAAGTGAATGTGATGTTATGTAAACATGTAAGTCTTTTAGAGAACTCTGTGCTACCATACTATAATTTAATTTTGTTTTTTTTTTTCTTCTGGTCGAATCATGACAGCATTGCATTTATTCTATAAATAGGTAGAAAAGAAGGGAAGACTATTTATATAAATAACCAAGAGGATAGTTAACTTTTGGAATTTAATCATTAGCATTAAGGCTTAACTATAGTCTGGTTGAATGAAAATTCTGTAGAATTAATCTTATACCTTTTTTAACAGGAACTGGAAATAAAGAAAATGGCTAAGACTGGTAACAAAGAAGCCTGTAAAGTGCTAGCAAAACAGCTTGTACAGCTGCGGAAGCAGAAAAATCGAACATATGCCGTTAGCTCAAAAGTCACTTCTATGTCAATTCAAACAAAGGTCATGAACTCTCAGATGAAGATGGCAGGAGCTATGTCAACTACAGCAAAAGTAAGGCATTAAAAGGCATTCTTTTATGTTAAAGTGCATATGGTTGGAAACATTGTGTTGTTTAACAGAAGATACAGTTGCAAGAAAAATTATGTGAACCTTTTGGAATTTCATGATATTCTCTATTAATCTGTCATAAAATGTGATCTAACCATCATCTAAGTCAAGAATATTGACAAATACAATGTGTCTAAAATAATAACACAAAACCAGTTCTGATCTTCCGTATCCATTGAACACACTCATTCAACATTCAAAATGCTAGTGGAAAAAGTAAGTGACCCCTTGAGTTGACTTCAGAAAAGCTAACTGGAGTCAGGTTAACCTGGAGTCTTGTTAAGAAAATGAGCTTGGAGGTGTGGACTGGAGCTACATTGACTGATTAAAAAACACTTAAACTTTCTGAGTTTGATCCCCACAAAACGTATGCTTAGCCAAAAAGAACTTTCAGGGGATCTATCATCAAGAATTCTTGATTTACATAAAGCTGGAAAGGCTTACAGAGTGCTTTCAAAGACCTTAGAAAGTCACCAGTCTGCAATTAGGCAAATGATCTACAACTGGAGACACTTTGGGACTGTGGCTACTCTACCAAGAAGTGGGTGCCCAGTCAAAAGGACCCCAGGGGCACAATGAAGACTCGTCAATGAGGTAAAGAAACAATGCTGAGTGACAGCC